TTAAAAAGTTCTCGTTTCCTGGAAGGGGGGGGGGGAATCCAGACGCCCCTCCTAATCCAGGAGCCCCCGCGGGGTACACAGGGGGGGGGGGGGGGGCCCTTCCCTACCGGCCTTTTTCGAAACCCGGGGTCCAGGGGCCTGACCGTTTCTGATCGTAACTCGAGGGGGGAAAAGCGGACCTCATCCCCCCCTGGCCCCCTCTGGGCCCCCCCCCCCCCCCCAAACCCTCCACTGTTCTTCCATTCCCGCAGTCGCAACATTCATGCCACTACAGATGCACACGAATGCCACAGGGAGGGGGTAATAAGGGTCTTATTGCTTGAAAGCCTGCATGTCTTGACCTTTGGTTCATTACGCATGCGCCTGTTAAATACAATGTGCTGCGACAAGGGATCATGTCACTATGTGCTCCACCTTTCGACCGCCGAGGTAGGTACCATGTACAGGTAGGTAGGGAGCCTGCAAAGGATGACAATCGGTCTGGAAGGCGTTCGTGAGCGTTGCAGTTGCTCCCGCAGACGTCAATCTGGGCTCTTCTTGACATGGCCATGTTTGGTTGGGATCAGGCTACGATTCAACTCTCGCCACCTGGTATCGCATATGTTCTCCCAGCCCCGTACTTCTTCCTGCTACACGCATAAGCAGTATTGGTGCCCATTGTTGTATTTTTGGTCCATTCTTGATTGCAAATAGCAGTCCCTGCCTCGCTTGCACAAGATAAAGACCCAGGTGTGCTTTCAGCTCTTCTGGCGAATCTCATTACACAACCACACCAGTAAGGCCATACAACAAGACAGACTCGATCTCAGGTCACACGAAGTCGACGCCATGTCCTTGCTTAGAAAAGCAAAGTCGACCTCGCAGGCTGTGTCCTCGACTGACAACTCGCCCCTCTCCCGCATGTATAGCGGTATTCCCAGAGTTGTCCACGAAGTAGGCCACAGCGAGATGTAGGGTATCTCCTTCGCCAACGTCAACACCAGACAGCGCAATACCACAGCCAGCATCGTGCTCAAGAAGTTTCTTCGTGTCGCCGATGACAATGTGGACATGGCGCTCGAGCACTTCACTCAAGCTCTGAAGTGGAGGAAGCATAATGATCCATCTGGCAAGCTCACCAAGATGTTCGATCCAAAGAAGTTCGGCGAGATGGGATTTGTTTCTCGACACCGTACTGACCAGGGTGGTGGCCGGGTCGTCATCGTGTGGAATCTCTATGGTGTCATCAGGGATGTCCAAGAAACTTTTGGAGACATTGCCGAGTAAGTAATATCGTATTCTATACCTCGTCGCTTGCTTCAGGATTGTCTCCTGGTCGCTGTGAATATGTTTGTTGATTCCTTCCAGATTTCTCGACTTCCGGATTGCCCTCATGGAGCTGGCTGTCCGAGAGCTGGACCTTTCCAACGCACCAGCTCCAATGCCCGAAATTGGCCCAGACCCATATCGCATCATCCAGGTCCACGACTGTGCCGGGTCCAACCCATTTACCGTGTACCCTAAGATCAAAGATGCGATCGCCGAGACAATCGACCTCTTCGAGGCCAACTATCCTGAACTCCTGGCGTACCACCATTTCGTGCGACTGGGCCACGTCAACACGTTTCGCATCAAGCTGCTGAATACTTTGGTTCCTGAGCTTTTGCGTCCTAAGCTGCTCAGCCTTGGCAGAGTCGAGTTCAAATCCTCTCTCAAACGTAAGGACGTTCTTCTCAAGCTATTCCCGGATCCAGCAGACCGTCAGCGTTACGGCTTCTCTCTTCCAACAGAGTTCGGCGGAAACACTAGCAGTGTGCATGATGGCCGAACTGTTCAGTTTCTCCTCACTGAAACCTCGGATGAGAACATCACAGAAGAAGATGTTAAAAGCGTCAGGTTGATTTTACCACCTGCCCGCAAAGGAGCCCAGGCGGAGGCGAGGGAGCTGACTGCGTACCCAGCCACTGCGGTGGCTTCTGACAGTCCCTAAGTTTGAGTTTAGGGCCTGGACGCGTGGTCTTTACTACGTCGCCGCTTCACAATTTGTGTTTCGACAACGAGTTGACCTCCTTCCTGCTGCTACCATCACTTGTGATTCAGAGCTTGGACCGCTTCCATGCTCAGGCAAGTAGAGCAGATGGCGGTCTTCGACGAATGAAGTACATAGACAGTGTTACTCTAGGCAAGAAATAGGAAATCAGAATTTCTTCCTTGCATCCATGCTTGCGAGGTCTCGATGTGTCAAGATCAAGGGATCGCACGACGTGAAGGGATGTAATTTCTGTCTGGGTGGGATCGCGTGGCATCTCAGGGTAAGGTAGCAAACAGTACATGATTCTTTTGGCACGAGAAAGGTTATTGTTTTTGTCGCGAGGAAAGCTGGGGTTAGGAGACTGATGAGCGAAACCCACAGATTGATCGGTACGCAGCAACATCAGTTCCAGCAGAGCACACCCCTGGAACGAGACTTGAAGAAACCTGGCAGCCTCGTTCTCCGAAGGCCGCAATCTTCTCAATGCCACCAGCACTAATGTTGGCCTTCACAGGCTGGCTTCATGTTGTCGCGCGATGCGTCAAGGGTGGACAGGTCGAATTGGCGTGCTGTGCACTCGGCTGCGACCTTGACTGGCATGCCCAGGGCTCACGAGGGCTTTGAGAGGTTGAGGATCATCAAAGGCTGGAAGGATCAAGCCCGGGGGTTGGCGGCCGCCGTCGTGCCTCAGCTGGTCAGCCGTAGTGGAGAGAGGCGAGCGAAAGAGGACAAGGACACAGAACTGGTAGGAGCCCAAAGACCGAGTCGGCGTTGTGTGGAAAGCCCCCATTTTGAGCACGGCGTCGTACTCGGGGCGTTGAGGAGGTGGTATCTGACCGGACGTCGGGCCTCGAAGCTGCGGCCTAGAACTTGCGGGCGCAAGGTAACCAGAGGTGTGGCCTTGATG